ATATATTCATACAAAATTAGGTTCATTCAAGTATCACCTTGGAACGTACCAGATTTACTATATTTGATTTGAAACATGGCTCTGACAAGTTTTTGGTAATTTTAAGAATGACGCACAAAATTACGCTAAAAATTAGTTGAACTAGCCCACAGTGAATCTAATAATGATCAAATATAGCAATTACTCTCCTCACTATCCTATTAATCGTTAGTAGAGGAAATATTGATGCATTTTTTCGCTTTCTGAAAAAAAAGACCACAAGAATGAAGAAGAATATCAATTTACTATTTGCCTGGGCGTTATCACAAAGCGAAGCGCAACTGATGATCCATGAAATATGAAGGTTAAGCCATAAAAAGTGATATCTTTAATATATTAAGCTTCTAGAATAGTAAACTTGGATAGCTTACGTTCCTGTTGAGTTACAGGTTAGAACGATCTAGGAATGAAGTCGAAGTAGCTATTAAGTTAGTAAAAGGTGCAGGACAAAAATGAAGATAAGGATAGAATATCAGTGGATTAAAAGGGTTATTCAGTGTTGTCAAGGGTAAACAACAGTCTAATTCAAGATGAATATTTGCTTTATTTAAAGCTAAAACGCAAAGTAGACTGGATGTAAGTCATAAAGGGCATGTAAATCGAATTTTTCATTCAGAAGCAGGTTTCCATCTAATATATGTAAATAAAATCAAAGTTTCTGTATGGCTGAAAGAATTCAAAAAATCTGGACTAAAATAAAATGGGGAAATAATAAGGCAAAAGCGAATACGGTCTTTATCGAAAAAAGAATGGGCCAACTGAGGACCAAAATAAAAAGCTAGACTTAGTCTAATACCTCTCTGAACGGACTGTCGCTGGATACGACGATAACTTTCTGCGTTTGGCTGGGCTACTGTTCTCTTGTAAATTTTTGAGTGAAGAATGCATTAAGTCGCTGGAAGCCTTCGATAAAACGGATGTACGAGTGGGGACCCGATTTAAAGGTCGCTTTTCCTCAGAAGCATACAGCTCCCCTCCAGCATAGCGCTTCAGAGCTGAGGCCAGACAGCGCTGGTAATGTTCAAGCGGATGAGGAAGTGCATGGGGGCTCCGGCAACGATAAATAAGCCTAGAATGCGCGATTGGTTGTACATCAGGTTGCTGCACGCCTGCAGTGGTAACGGAAGCAATAGGGGTGGTGAGAACCGACGGAAGACCCATTGATTTGAGCCGGATCCTCACTGAAGGAGAGGAAGATGGAGGACCAGAAGGAATAGGTGAATTCGTGTCTGAAACCTTAGAACAATCGTCAACAAGATCCAACCCTGAAGACTGTAGGAATTTCTCATGTTTATGTGGCATATATTGCTTGGCGCTCAAGCGTGGCTGCCGTAAATTTCGTACCTCGCCTTCCTCTGGCTCTTCATCGCTTTCTAGATCGTCTGAAGAGGCTGAAGATGAAGAAGAGGAAGATGATGAAGACGATGAAGACGATGAAGAGGGAGAGCCATAAGGGGAGGAGAGAACATTTTCCTTGGCGCAATTTGTGACTTTTGTGGCCTCCTGGGAAGGTGAAGAAATGGGATGGCTTCCTTTGTGAATATGAGGTAAGTGAGGACAGTCATTACCTTCTATTGGGTTCGTAGAGGGCAAATCTGCGCACTTTACGATTTCCTCAGTCTTAAAAGGGGAGGTGTGAGGACAGTCTTCTTCCTCCGATAAAGGCGAATGGCAAGAAGCAGATTGGCAGGCAGCTAATGAGGGGGAAATCATTTGAATTTCACTATAAAGGATAGAGGAAACGACGGAGGATGTGCGACGGCATGGAGTGTAGACAGGCAGCGGCTCATCCGAGGGATTTAGATGAGTAGGTATATAACCTTCGTGGGGAGACGGCGACAGTGCGGACAGGGCTGTAGGGGGGTTAGTTCCGGCTGGAGCAGTTGCAGCTGGAACAAGCGAGCTAAGAGAAGGAATAATCGAGACGGGCAAAAAAGGGGATGCGGGCTTCGTGGGTGAGCAAGAAGAAGCATTAGGGGAGACAATATTCCGAGATCCGTTTATAGAAGAGATAAGTGAAGCAGGTGGATTACTGGAAGTCTCATGTTCAACAAACGCTTGATGGGATTCCTCTTGGAGCCGAGACGATTTTGTGGGAGGTGGAGGTGTCAAAGGGATCGTCATTTTAACGATAGATGACAATGCGTTTGAGACAAGAGGCTTGTCGGTTACCTGTCCCGGCGACAAGCCAATCTGTTCACCGCCACATTCATCAAGAAGTTCAAAATCATTAGCCGTTGGTAGAGAGGACTCTTCCTCTCCACCTACACTAATTTCATCTTTACATTTATCTTTGATACTGACACAAGGATCTTCATATAAATTTCTCTCGTAAGATGTTTCAGATGTAACCGCTTTTATACTAAAGCAAGACTCGTTGTGTCTTTTGTCTTCCGAAACCGATTGCTCAGCACTGTCAACCAAGGCGAACGGTCCATTCTGGTTGGGCGGTATGTCGATTGAAGGTGATAGGACCTTCAAGGCCTGATCGAACAGAGATGGTAGAGATGAGTCAGCTTTTAATTTTGCTCCTGACGTAAGACAAGGTGGAGAGGATGATATAGCAGGTTGTTGAGAAGACTCCTTAGGATGAATGTCGTCCGAAGTGGAAGAGGCAGTCGGAGAGATAGTTACAAGCCTACTTTCCAGTTGATCCGCTCGACTTGAGTTTGATGGAAGGGGCATCGATTGAGTCGTGACGACTGAAGTAGGTGAGAATCCCATTTCGACAGTAGACTGGGCTGAAGCTAGGACAGGACCACAAAAGGGTGATGAAGATGATGCTTCGTAGCAGAGACTATTTTCCTCTGTGGCAGAAGATAGATGCTGAACTAATCCATCAGCAGGTGGGGCACCATCAAGTCCCAAACTAGAGATAGTCGAAAGCGAGTCTCGAGACCCAGGAAAGGAAAGGCCTGTATTGATTGTTTTCCTATGTAGTGCCAGCTGAGCAGGTGTAATTTGGAAAAGCTCGGCCATGGATCTGGGGCCGGGATAGGCGTAAGCCAGATTGGCCATAGTAGTCATTGCAACAGGAGTGGCAGAAGTTATAGAGTTAATGAGAGGGGCAGAATTGATGGGATTGGCTGAGATCGAGTCTGATGAGAGGTTAGAGCCAGAGGTAGAGGTAAGGTTTGGTGTCGAAAGAGGCCTGTTAGAAGAGGAAGGGAGATGTTGGGAGGCGAGTGCCGTGGCCATTGACAGCATTGAAGCAAAAGTGGCGGTCTTTTTGTCAAGTTGCTGAGATGAAAGCGTACTGAAGTGGAAAACAAGAAGTGAGGTATTATTAAGAGACAGATGTAGGTTCAAGACATCGAGTATGCCTTTTAAGGGCGTTTAAGACATATATCAAAAAATGACAGTTCAAAATGAGTGTTAAAAAACCTTCAAATTAGACCTAATAAGGAATATCTCACTAACATCAAGAAAACATTATTTATTATTATAATGATTCAAAAATCCAAGTGAATTAAATGTATGCCATTCTTAATAAGACAGCTTTAATTTCGGCCACTGCCAAATTTTTATTTAAACGGAAATAATTATCTTATGATTCTGAAAGTTTATAATAATAACACCTGCAAGCTAAGCAAGTGGAGAATAAAGTTGAAATCAACATGACTCATACAGCAAAGCCCCTACCTAGGAATATTGAAATTGGCCAAAAGAAATGGGGTGGAATGCAGGCTACTCAATGCCATCTTTCTAGAGGCATCGGGAATTGAATTCGATAGGGCAGCTGCAGGTATGATGGATTCGCCGGTTTTGGAGGAGTCCTTTAGTTGAGTCTGATTGGGTTTGAGCTCAAGTTGTTGTCTTGCGAGTTCAAGATGAGAAGACTCCAGCTTCAAAAAACATGGAAAACAGAAAAAGAAAATATTATGAAAAATACATGGGGAGAATGATGCAATAACAAAATAGAATGAGACATTAAATGCCCACAATATTTTAAAACAGGACAAGGCCATAATATTCAACATGACAAGAGAAAATTTTCTCAGGGAAGTCTTAAAGTGACACCTAGCGAAATAATGGAAATAGGAATTGGGTTTGTGAACACTTTAATATGGGGAGGAAGGAAATCAACAGATGAAGCTGAAATAAATGAACAAAATTAGTGAGCGAAAAAACTACCTCATCTTCCTCGGCATTAGCATAGATTTTTAGGAACTTATTGAAGACCTCCTGAGCAGCCATCTTCACGTCGATAGAACGGTTATAGCGCCGACACTGAAAAAGAATAAAAGAATAAAATAAAAAATCATCAAGAGGTCTATGGGGAATGAGTAAAACTTTAAATACGTTTACTTGCAAATGCAGCCAAAAGTGAAGTAAAAATAAACTAATTTATATGATTGTGTTCCTAAAAATACGCTTATCAATGGATTTTCTGATAAATAGGCAACACTTTAAGTCAAAGTGATAGCAAGCGTCATTCAACCGGAATGTAAAAATGCTTCATTATTTTAAGCCCAACATTCCTCCATCGGAATGGCAATGCCCTGATTAATGAAAGAAATTGGGTAATGCAGCTACTCAGGGCTCCGACATATTTAAAATCGTAGAGTTGACATTATGCCTGGTCATTAGAATAAAGCCTTAGAGCCTGAAGACTAAAATGCTAGTAGATAGCTTGGGATCAAATACTATGCATAATAAACGACCCGCTCTGCATCAATTTAAGCGAATAAAATAAAAATTACGATTATATAATCTTTTTTGCTATGGATACAAAATTTCCCCACAATGTGACTATCCACCGGAACGTCGGAGTATCCAGAATATGTTTCACCTTTTTAATGGTTTCGATCAAAGTCCAGCAGCGAGCTAATTGCGGCAAAGTTACTTCAAGACGGAGCAGGCTATCGAGCCGAGCTAAACAGGCGGGTATGTCCTCTTGCCCGCGCACAAGACTCGCCTTGATCTTGCGTTCGAGGAAGAGGAGGCGCACCTCAGTATCGAGACCAGGGGGAGAATGAGTTGACTTCCTATATAATTATAGAGAGGATAATAAAGAAGGCAGAATTGAGGATCAAGATGATTTGGCCCTTTGCATGGTCAAAGACTCTTTTCAATAACTTGATCTCAGTTTCGCAATTTAGTGTTATTTACTGAAAGACTTGGAAGGAGGAAATTAGTAGTGCGAATTATGAATGCTTTATTAATTAAGGTTTTTGCATATTAATACGCATTTTTATAACAACAGTGCCTGTCATAAGTAGCCTTTGATATTT